ATGAAACGAACTGATCATCAATGAGCAATTGTAATTTCCCGCTTATTATGAATTCGAAATGAAATTGAAGAGGAACGCCACAGACGATGGAGAGTATTTGGTGGGGACGGGATTGAATGATAGAAGCACGATAAGTAAGGTGTATAAGTGGAACGGTTTGTCGAGTTTACCTGTGGATTGGTGGTCATCTGATTGGGCGCGTATGATTAACGGTACTGATGCACAGCTCTTTCCACCGTCATTGTCCACGAAGAAGGATCTTTTCATATTCATTGGACTTCTCAAAAGGTTATCTTCCATCCATCTGATTTGCTTTCGTGGCTTATTCGAAATTTTCATCGCAACCGTTTCATTGGTTGGTGTATGCTCGGTAAAATTTACTTAAGTGATCAACTGCTCAGCTTGAGACATTCAGTTGTGTTTTTTCCGGAGTTGAATATTGAATCAGTTGATGTCAGCAATGTGGTAATTCATGTGAAAAAATATTGTGATGATCTGTGGCTGTAATTTTACCCCGTGTATTTTGGAAGATCATGCGCATACACATATTTTATAACGTTATGAAACCAGCAAATTCGTTCATGTTATTATTCCCAAAACAACTTCAGACTCCTTTAAAGCCTATTTGGAATTAAGACCTGTAAGGATACTGATTAAAATTTTCGATGTTTCATCAGTACAGTTTGAAAATTCCGGAAAAGAAATGAATATATTAAAAGTACCTTCGAAACTTTATGAATCTGATATGCAAATGTTTGCTNTGAAAATTCCGGAAAAGAAATGAATATATTAAAAGTACCTTCGAAACTTTATGAATCTGATATGCAAATGTTTGCTAAAGAGTGGTTGCGTTAGCAGGCGATTTGCCGTTGGGTTGTGCTCAGCTGAGTGCTTTTAGTGCGCTTTACATGATCGATTGCTATTCGCGCACACTAGTCTCGTTTTAGTCATAGCCTTTCAAGCAATGTGCAGAGCTCCCGTGGCCTAATGGATAAGGCGTTGGTCTCCTAGATTAGCTGTCACAAAGCGGAGTGAACCAACGATGGGGGTTCAAGTCCCCCCGGGAGCCAATTTTTTATTGTTTGGTGGCGAAGATTCTGAATAATTTAATGAAAGTGTCCCTTTTATTGCGTGAAAATCGTTTGAGCGAGTGGTTTGGCTGAATGTAAACAGCTGATTCTTATGATTATGAGCAGCGCAGGAATGTTTTAATTCGCAGAATAAAATTTTGATACGTACGGATCGAACAAAGTTCCATATGTCAAGATTTTTGTCCGAGCTATTGATAGTTATTGTTTTTGTGTTCGAATGAGAATAATAACGATGGCAACTGTAATTTTTGAACAATTCACCCATATAAATCTCGGATTAAAGAATAACAATTCACTGCTCCCTACTAAGATTAAAAAAGGGGGATTTTTTTGTGGGCGAGGAGGGGGGGGGGTTATGAATGTGAATAAAATGAGAATTGTGAACAAACAAAAAGGATGATGAAATGAGATGAGAAGCATTCACCGAAATCGAATTTACTGTCGTACTGAATTAGAATAATTTTCGTGATAGAATAGAAAACGAAATCGTTCAAATTTATAGATCGATTTATATGCGATATAAGATGAGCGAAGAAGTTGAGGATGTTCCTGTGTTGAGNCCGACGTTTTTCGATAATTCAACTCAACCAGGCTATTTATTTATTTATTTGTTTATTGTTATCATTATTTGATACTCTGATGTTTTTTGCCTTCTGAAGAGCGAGAAATTTGGTTATGATTGACTGATATCATATCGTCGGTTCGCATTAACATTATTTTGGTAGCCTCCGATGAAAAGTTTCATTCGAAGTTGTTTGTTTGTAACTTATTGTGTTTTTAGAAGGTTGTTTACCGACTGGTTTAATGGATATCAGCAGAACGTTGCCCGGCAAAGTTCGAGTTTATGTTTCCGGATCACATTTCCTCAATTCACCAGCAGTTTTGTATCAGAATTTCAGTGGATTTGGAACACCGTCAACGGATGATGAAACATTCATTGATATCGAACCGGTTAGCGTTTGTTCGATGATTTGATACGTTTTAGTTTCGATTGAAAACCTTTTAAATTATTCATTTCATTTTATTCGAACTTGATCAGGCATCTAACATTTTATACTGTTGCACTTTCACATTATGGCCTTTGGTCTGAAAATTTAATTGGATTGAAATTAGAAAAGATAACCGTTTGAGTAATAACG